TCCAAAACTGCTAACGATTTCCCTTTCAATTTTAACATAAAGCACTTTTTGTGTAAAGGCGTTAACATAATAAATGTTGTCGATCAGATATAAAAATAATATGTATACTACGTTTGAGAATTACTAAAACAGTTTTATAGAAACTTGAGCGTTGAACTATTTAATTTAAACAGGAGAAAGGATTATCGCTGTAATCATAATAGGCGAAATCACTACTGTTCAATGATGTGGGCATAATACATTCATAACATTTATTGTGTTTTGAATTTTAGAAGTTGTGAATGACCAGAAGTTAATACAGAATACACTAAAATCAAACCATAGTAATAATGTGCACTGAATAATTAAAAAAACCAACACAAGTAAGACTGGTAAAGTATCAGTTAGGTTCATCGATTCAAAACGTGAAGAATTAAAACCTAGACTAGCTCGAGGGTTCAATGGAATCAAACACCTTATGCTATAATTTGTAATCGTTTAAATTATAATGATTATAATGGTCATGTGTTTCAACATCGATTTATTTGGACGAGTAAATCGAACAATACTCGAAATGGAAAAATAAAAGTAGGGGGGGGGACGTTAGTACGTAAAAGAACGTATGTTTTTCCTAAAAAAAAAACATCAATTAGTAGGAGAACATCACAATTTCCAAAGAACTTCTTGGGATACTTAGTCCCCCTATGCCAGCCTTTAATGCATTAATTGTTTAATTTTAATACTACTTATTTTGTGTCCGTTACAGAAATCGATGGAAGCCCTAGTTGGTGGGGTATGAATAACAAAATAATGAAATAGTTATAAAATCACTTTTATTTTTCTCGTTCTCGGATGCGAAGGGGAGTACATTTTACCATTTTTGTCCACAACAATTTTCCTGGGTATGGCTCGTGATTTATAGCCTGTATATATATATTATGAGAAGTGTCGGTCTACGGTGATCTCATAATTCCAGACCCACAAAAAAAACTAATTTGGAACAAACACGAAATCTTTTCAGCTTCGCATCGAAACTCGAGCAGACTAAAAAATAAAATTAATAATTCCTTAACGTCCCACCATTATTTACATATTTATATTTAAAGTTGTATAACTTCAGGTTTTGGCAGCAAGACTTTGATTACTATGGCAAATGCCAGAAGAACTGTTACTAACCCATCTTTAAGTCGTTTACTTAAGGAAGTCGAAAGTATGTATAACAATTAACACAGAGTGTCGCAATAAGTAAAATATTATTAATTAAGCGACAGGCGAGATGCAGTGTGGTTAGAATGACGGAATTGCTTTTGTGTAATACCAGTTTTTAATTTGTTTCACTACTGCAACTATGCCATACAAATCATATAACTTATCAGTTGTCTAATTATCATATTATTTAATATGAAACACCAATTTATCTATTGATCTGTTCATGTTATTATAAATTATACTGTGCAGTGATTCACACTTCGTCGTTAAATACATGCTTACTTCGTTGCTGAGTACATGGCATTATATTTTGATGTCACAGCTCTACATATTTTTACTCTGTGATTATAATATGTTATGCTATGATATAATATGTTAGAAATTTATTTTTCACAGTTGGATCCCACACTGGATTTGACAATCATCAGATATGTCTTTTAATAGCATCTTACTTATCAGGAAAAATCCCAACATACCGCATAGATTTTAGCATTGACGTTATAAATGGCGGGCACCATGATTGTCATATTATTGACGTTTCTGGAAAAGTTACATTGTACAGGAAGATTGAAAATAGTTTCTGGAAACTCAAGGATGATTATAGTCAAGATGTCAAACTCACTTCAGTTATTGATATATAGAAATTGTATTGTCATAAATCGCAATTTTACTTTATATTCAACATAGTATAATATGTAATTATCAATACACACCAAATGTACTTGATATTGTTCACTGTTTTAATTCGTAAATCATAATAATATACATGTTTTTCTGTATTGAAATATAATGATTTTATTAATAAGTTTATTTTTCAAATGTCCGATTCACACTTTGGCAACCAATCACTTACTTAAATTTATTATATTCTAAAACAATGATAAAAATCAAAAGAACAAACTGGGAGATTGATTTTGGGACCAATAATAAAATGCAATATAAGATAAAGGAACGATGAGCAGTGAGTAGAATATAAATTATTAAAAAACAAATTATGTATGAATGTTGGAAATTATCGGAATAAAAAAAGACTGTTATTTTAATATTACAGTTAAATAGTATAGAAGAGTATTAGTACGCTACAGTCCTTAGAAACTCTAAATTTTCATAATTATTATTATTGGTACATTAGGCTAGCCGAAAATTATAATAGGTTTAATCAAAGTTCGTCGCGTAGTATTAATCCCCAACAAAAACCTAATCGTGAAAAAAGGCCAAGTTTCAGACCCCTTCCCAAAAATGTCGGCCTAATAAAGTAGTGATATCTACATTGTGGCCAAGTCTGCTATTATTTCTTTAGTTCATAACCACACTTCACTCCTACTTTCATGAGCAACACTGCTCTTTTATTTGTATTTCTTAAGACTTGGCCAGTTTCTGAAACAAAATTATTAAATGTACTTACTTAAGAGTTATGTGGGTGATGGGAAGAAGAGTACTCAGAAAAAAAGGAATAGGTCCCCTTTTGAAAAAATTAACCAATCAAAGTGGTGGTGTTTACATTGCGGAAAAGTCTATTTAATGCCTCAATCAGAAAGGTCATATTTCATTCAGAAACTGGCCAAGTTTTAAGCAGACCTATTATTTGTAAAATTTCGGACTGCACACTTAATTTTATTCTCGCTACTGTCTTAGAAAAAGGAATGTATTACATATATGTATTATATGTATATAATAATTTAACAATGCAATTAAATAAAACAGCAAAATACTTATTTTTTAATCAAAATAAACGAAATTAAATAGCATGTTATAATAAAAACTTGAACTTAACTTTCTATTAATTAAAATCATAACAATGCTGAATGCATATTTTTTATAAAATATGTAGTTAAAACGAAACTTTATTGCTGAACAACGACGGTTCATCACCCTTTAATTTGGCTTCAGGGAAGACACATTCGTATCATTCCTGTTGTCTACCCAGTGGATGAACTTTTGAATGCCTTTTTTTACTATTTAACCATTATAATACTGCAGGTTGTGGATCGAATTCAGTTACAACAGGCATATTTATTTTTATATACATTGAATTTTTGATAGTTTCTGGAGATAAAGAAGATGTCTTACAAGTTTTCAATACGTTATAATATGATATTATACGTTCAACATCAGCTGAATGTAGCTTGGCAGCTATAATTCGTGCCACAGCAGTACTTAAAGATTTCTAACATTCATTACTTAACAACAATGGCTATACTGTGATAAATAGGTATACGATTAGCCCATAAGTGATAACATATATATATATATATATATATATATATATATATATATAGGTAAAGTGTGAATGTGTGATTTTTTTAAGCATGCTCACCCCACCATGCATAGAATTTGAATTTTTTCTTGTACAATTTAAAGCACTAAAAACACTACATTTTTATGATGTATATATTTTTTGTCTGGGTGATTTATTTAGTTTTCTTAAAAGACAACCACTACTTACAACTTAATATTATAAGAAAAAATATTCTCTTTCAAAATGTTAAATTTGTATAAAACACGAGTTATTCTTAAAAAAATGTTGTATTATTTGTGGTTTAAATTTTTTATGAAATAAATTACAAATTTGAACATTATTCAGGGATAAAAGTGGGATGAGTATGTTACACAATCACTGTTTCTATATTACATATACTATATGCATTAGACATTATTCATAAAATTATATAATATGGAACGCTTAAAACTATATGGAGACATTAGTCCCCCCTGTAATTTTTTCCCACTTTAAGCCCTGTAAGTAGGCTATTACTAATTCTACATTCTGTACTAATTTTGAGAGTTATCCGTGTACGATCGAACCATCTTCGCCTAATACAACAAAACATACAAATCCTATCTGTAGGGAGTAGGCAGGTCTAGCGGCCAGCTTGTTTTGGAGCGAACCACTAAAGCCAAGATACTTACCAAATAAACGATTATTAGATGCATCCCGCATCCAAAAAATTGGCAAGACGGCATGGAATTGAAGTGAACGATTCGGATGGGAATGAGTACGAAGGTATGCTTGACCTTTTTGTTTTCAAAAACTACATATCTAAACTATTTGATGGTACTCATTTGGACATTGCTCGTTGATTTTTCAAATTCTCAGAAAACTATTATGGCACAAAAGAACATCATCACTCAACATTTAATTAAATACATATGAGGTATAAAAATTTAAAAAAATGTTCAAATCATGACACAAACAGCTTGTATTGTAAGAAATTAGCGACCTACACAGTACCGTTGAGCTTCTTGTATTGATTTGTATAATTCCTTTAAATAAATACATTGTGTTTTCTATTTTTCCTTAGAATTTTAGAATGTCGTTTTTGATGCGGTTTAATTTTATCAATTGTCTTAAAAACAAATGAGCATTTTTCTACAAAAAAGACGTGTTGAAATTGATTTATGTAAGATGCTTAGTTGTGTTTGTTTTGAATAATATGTATTATTTTCCTGTTGTATTGTTACATTTTATACCTTATCTAATTTTGTATAGATACTTTAAATGCTATTTCATTTTGTTTATTATTTTTTTATTTAGTAAATAAATACGCTTACAAAACCTGGAGTTTTCCCGGTATAATTTTCTACATTTTGTTATCCGGAGTAAAAATTATTAGTAGATAACTTAAAAAAAAAAAGATTTGTCCAATCCAAGTACAGTATAATTCAGTACAATTACACATGTTATAAAGGCTGGGTTAAACTACTTATTAAATACAATGGCGATTCTAGGAATGAAAAAAAAAGAGGGCTAGAATAAAAAACACAAAGGCAACAATAAATTAAAATGTTTGTTAGACATAAAATGATGTAGAGATAAAATGCAATAGACAATTAATTAACAAATTTGTATATTATTGTGGTGAGAAAAAACAATTTTAATTACTAACGATATTACTATAAAATGTATGTAATTTTGTTTGTTATAAAAACAAATGCTGAGTGTATAGGGATTAGTTATTTCTAGGTTCTTGGTCTATAATAGATGGAGATAGAGAAATATGGCGTGGTATATGTTTGTCGTCAGTATGGTCTTGAAGGCCGAAAACTACGAAGAAGCAGGTTTCAAGAGTAGTGTCTCTTCACCTTCAGATACAAGAAAAATTTGGTCTCCAAACTGTTTGTAGTAGGAAGTTTTGTCCCAAATTAAAGATGTAGAGGTTAATTTGCAAAGTCCAGAATCGTCAATCTCGGCATGTTTTACATAATCTTTTAAATTTTTGAGGAGTTCAGTATTTGTGTACAACGCTATCAAACGACAAACGTGGATATCGTTGAATTGTTTTTCTTGTCCATCTTTATTAAACATAAAAAAATTGTTTTATTTTAATTTGCCAATTTTACCTGACCTAGTTTATTTTGTTGTTGTATATTATTCATCGAAATCAAATAAAATACATTTAATAAGTCCCATAGTTATTGTTTGGTAATTGATATTATAAAAAACTAAAATTATTTCATATTGAAAAAACTATTGTTATTGGAAGATCAAATTTACCGACTAATTTTCAATGTCACTTTAAAATATATTCTAGCCATCACATGCCAAGTTAATTGTTAAAAAATAATATGTTGGCCACAGTAAAAAAGACATGTTGGAGAACAATAAAAAGCAATTCCATATTAATATTTACCATCAAGGTACTTCAATCCACTGCTAATTATATTTTCCACAGCTTTTCCAGTATATTCTCTTCTAGCTTTTCCAAGTTCGTCCAAAGTTAACCGTGCTTCAGAGTGAACTAAGTAACCGTGTCAGTAAAATATTAAAACAAAAATTAAAAATTAAATCATTTGATACATAATGTTATTACTTTTCAATAAAACGCTGTATTGCTAATTATTTTTATACAACCTGTCATTAGCTGTATTGAATATCGAAAAAATGTATTCTTCCTATACTCGAAACTCAAAGAACTTACAATACACTTTAGCATCTTCGTGTAGTGTGAGTTATTAACTCAGAAAATGTACATTAAAGGTACTTTTAAGGCTAAAAGGCCGTTCAAAAGATCAACGTAAACATAGTAGTTGTTAAATATATTGTATTATATCTCGCTTTCTCTCACCAACTATAAAAGTATACTTTATTGTAATTATGATGTGAAAAAAAGCGAATTGGATTTTTAACACAAGTCAAAAGCTCTATGCTGTTATCGAATAAATTCATAATTACATAAGTGCTTCAACGGGTTTTCTAAAAGACCTTGTCTTGGCTCAGGCTCAGGAATAGCTACAACAAAAATATAGAATATCAAAAATGTATGCCGAAATAAAAACCGGTTTTTATAGTGTTTCATCCAACACACTCACTCTAAAACTGAAAGTGATTAGATCAATTAATCAATACAAAATACTTTCTGTAAACATTAATTTTTTTTTTTTGATAGCGACGTTTGAATAAAAGGTTTGAATCTTATTTCGAGCGGTCGTCGAGCCTTAAGCAAACAACCAATAGCTTTATATGGCTTTAATTTAAACAGAATTTTCATAGTTTTACTCGAGGACTTAAATATTATACTTACGTAATATATACAGTGTTTCATATCGCAATATCAACTGTAGATATGCGCCTCCTACAGTTTTAAACAAAAGAATATCATTATAAACTATATTAATCTGTGTACGGAATTGTATGTAAAAATGTGGTTACTCTGCAGTTGGTCAGGGTGCATATTTTCTGAAATAAATACGAAAACACTGTACACTTTCTGAATATCAAAAAAAAAAAAATATTATGTGGAAATATTTCCGTAAAATGCAACGAAAATGATTACCCGGCATAGCGATCATCATATTTAATTCGTCTGAAACAAACATTACACAAATTAAAGACGTTGGATTTTATTTTTTTATGTCCTGTTTTAAATTAGATGGTGGCGGTAAAAATATGTGCACAGTTAACATGGAAAAAAAAGTGCTTAGCTCGATTATAATATAGTGTGGAAACAATATGAAAACATAATAGCTGAATCGAAGCAGATGTATGAGTGAATTATAACGATTGAATGCAATAGACAAAACAACTATTATCAAACTCGCTTACATAAAGATTCCGTTTAAATGTTAGATTAAAATTTAAGATTTCCATTACTAATAATTTTGCTTGAATGTGAATTTATATTGCAATTTTCGAAAAAAATGTTAATAATTTTTTCTACTAGCAAGTTTAATTTGTTTTTATTATTGTTATACAATTATTACTACCCAATGAACGATTCTGACGAACCAGTGTTTTAATCAAATTTTCCAGTCCACCTAGAATGAACAAAAAAAAGTTTTAAATAAATTCATAATAGGTATAAATATCATCAGAACAAAATAACACCATGCTTCAAGCGATGACCATTAACTTAACGCTACTTCCCCTGTTAAACGGTTACTGACTATAGGCAAGTGTGCTTTAAGTAAATTAGACCGGTATTTTAAGTTTAAATATAATTGATTACACATATTGTTCGGTACAACACCTCGTACACTATTAATCTGAACAGATCATCGAAACTATAATTGTTAATTTATAAATCGTTTGACGATCAGGTAAATATAACACAACTATAATTTTATTATATTAGTTTGTTATTTTTTGATATATCTTACTTCCATGTTTCTTTTTATATTCAGAAGCTCTCTTGATTTCTTTATCTATAGTAAATTATTTAAAAAATATTAATTACAAACTTAAAATCTAATTAGTGAGAAAACAAAATGTTACCGACTAGCCATAAAAACATGCTGCCTATAATCCTCCTTAGAATCCTCTGTAAAGGAGAGTTAAATATTATTATTTTTTTTAGATTGTTAACTATCTGATGTAGCTTAAAATAAAATAATTACTCAAACCGTCAGCCAAAACATTTACTAAGATAAATGATACTAAAATCCAGATAATTTTCATTTTTGTCTGCAAATAATAATAAATATAAAAACAGTTCATATTAGTCGCAGTCACTTCCGACGTGCGACGATGAGTATGTTTTTATTTTAAGAAGTATTTAAAATTTTGATGTATATTATAATGTTGCTAATTTTTTTTTCTAGTTTGACAATATTTCTTAGATTCTCTGAAATTATTTTATTTGTATAGCAAATTGGGAATCGTACTTAAAATCTACTCTATTCGCCAAATTTTTAACTAGGTTACCCTACTCCTGCACATTTATTTTTTTTGAAAATAATATCAATATTATGACATTATCTTTTTGAAAACATACTAACTTTTGTTATTGTACAATATTAGAAAACTATAAAATATTTGTATCTTGTAAGTACAAGATATTAAATTGTTTGAACTTAAGATGTAGGTATATAGGAAAATATAATATAGTATCGCAATACTTATTATACAAATTAAAAATCTCGCCATTTCTGATTTAATGCGCAATTACAACATTTAAAGCTTGATAGTACTACTTACTTAAATAATGAAGACGGTACAACTTTTGAGACAAAGATTAGTTCATTCAAACAACTGTTCTGAACTGACTTTCTTGTGTCTTGTCTACGGGCATACTATACTGTATATCGACCGAAATAGTATTACCTACTTATAGTTTGTAGTGTACCTCTGTTTATTTATGTACATAGCTGGTTTTTTACATTTATATCGCCTAACAAATGACTATGTTAAAATTTTGGAACGAAGAATATTGCCTTATTGTATACATATAATATATTGAAGCAGCAAAAAATATATAATTAAGTCATTTAGATTGTTATTTAATGACAACTTAAGACCGGTTTTCAAGGCGGAAAGGGGTAATTTATATCTATCTACGGTATTTAAAAGATAATGGATTGATGAGATACAAGTGAAAATAATTTGAGGTATTGCTATAAATAACTATGTTAAAAAAAGAACACAAAGTCGAGGTTCGTATCTTTATTTCCGAATTTGCAAAAATAAGTTTTTAAATTATAATTGTAACATATTTTTGTGAGAGTGTAGTGAGGCCAACTATTTATTAGGAAAACAGATAGAACCGAGATTAAGGGCAGCTGAAATAAAAATGCTTGCTTTAGCAGATGAATGGAGTGACGGGAAAAGATTGGATAAGAACGGAATGCACAAGAGGTGGCATAGGCATGGCTCCGATAGCGGTGAAAATGAGACAGAATAGACTGCAATTTTTTAGACATGTTTTGAAGATAGAGCAATCCAGAGCACTTGCAATAAGAATAGTAATGAAAATGAACGCAGGAGGAAAGGGGAAAGAGAAAGACCTACCCGTGAAACTTTCTTGGATAAAATAACTGTTCATTGAAAAAAATCGCCGTCAAAAGAAACCACCGACCATCGTGTGTTTGTTATTTTTTGCTTTCTGTCAAGTAGGTATCCTACTGAATACTTAGATTATAAAAGTGTTTTGATTCAATTTTCATAGTTGATAGCTTGAATATCAAATATTTTTTTTTTTTTTTAGTTGGTAATATGTTTTCAAAACGATTTAGAGATCATGTTTTTTATTATTTGTTTTGTGGCGCAATATCACTCTACTAACGAGTAGGTATATTTTTTTGTACTAGTATAAAAAAAAATGTGTTTTTTAAACGTAGTTCGTTTGGTTGTTTGTATGCTTAAACAGTTTTCTTGCGCGAGTACTGTATATTTACACAAGTAAAGAAATAAAATAGGTCAACGATTAAAGTACAAAAACATTTGATAAAAAAAAAAATTAAAAATAAAACTATAAAAATTGTTTTTTTTTTTAAATACAAAGATTCTTATAATATTCAAAGTATGTAATACCTACATGACATTATAGTTTGATTACATTACAACAGTAGCTGTGGAAAACAGCTTGGGTTAGCAGATAACAATTTCCCTTTCAATTAAAATAAAATTACAACATAACTACCTAAATACATTTTTTTGTAAAATTTGACAATTTTTAAAATGTAAAAACATAAAAGCTTAATATACAAACCAAGCAAGTCTCTTAATCTATTTAATGCAATAAAATGTATTTTTGATTTTGTAAAATAGTTGTAAGACGCTTAAACTTACAATACAAATAAAGTGGAATACAAAATAAAGCGTTTATGTCTTGTTTTTGTATATTAAAATTTGAAAAAGTGACTCATTGTAGATAACGTAAGACTTAGAGATTACTGACATATTTTATTATATGATTTATTAATAATATTGTATTTTAGCTGAATAGAATTCAAATGTATAATTTGTAAACATGTATAAAATAATTACTTATATTATGCAAAATATGGGTAACGGGGGGTTTTAAATAGAATTACTATTTTGTTTATAAAAAATAAAATTGGGTAAATGTTAGGATAATATTTTTTTTTTGCTTGGTTTTTGTCGAGTTTAATGTGAATGATTTATCCTCATTATTATTCTCCCTATAACTATTAGTTATTGTCAAATGACAGGCTGACATTAGATGCATGCAGTTTTATAAAATAATTATGATAAGTATATCCGATATTTATATATTACATTGAAATATTTCAAAGATTGGGCAATTATTATGTTTTTAACGTTAACCGAAATTATTTATTACTAACGTTTTGTTTGCTCCCTCACAGGTTTTTTGGAAACATGTATCGTTTTTATTTTTTTACAAATAACATTGTTATTTGCGTCATACTTTAACAACACTGTTCCTATATTATGTTCACTTACATTTTATTTTGTATATTTTAAGGTTCTGTATCACAGAGATCATCGTCTATTGTAAAAGTGTTTTTCAGAAACACAAAATTTCATTAGTACATTATGCAAAAATCTACTATTTGTCTTATAGTTTTCATTATCATAGAAATATCATTAGGTAATCCATATATATATTTTTTTACCATACAAACTCAGGTTCAATTCTAGAATTGTCATAATTTTATGGCTTCTAATTAAATGACGAATTTTGTAGAAAGAAGTTGATTCCATAGAGAAAATATTTTCATTTCAAAATTATGTAAGCGGGTATGAGTTTATACTGAAACCTACTTTTGTTGTTTATATTTAGGTACACAAGGTCGGCCAAGTCATACCAATTCTATTACGATTACATTACCTCTTATCTACTTTTAGGTGTACATTGCTACACGGTCATATTATGCAATAAATCAGTAAAAATATACAAGATACATAGAAAACTTGTATAAAATTGTATGTAAAATATATAGCTGTATATAATTTATAAACATACTAGATGAGAATATTTTCTCCATGGAATTAACTTCTTTCTACAAAATTCGTCATTCAATTAGAATCCATAAAACTATGATAATTCTAGAATTGAACCTGAGTTTGTATGGTAAAAAAAAATATAAGAATTACCTAATGATATTTCTATGATAATGAAAACTATAAAACAAATAGTGGATTTTTGCATAATGTATTAATGAAATTTTGTAATTCTGAAAAACACTTTTACAATAGACGATGCATTCTGTGATACAGAACCTTAAAATATACAAAATAAAATGTAAATGAACATAATATAGTACCTAACAGTGTTGTTAAAGTATGACGTAGTAAAATATGTACCTAAAAGTTTAGGGAAAAAAAAATTCTCAAAATATTCATATTTTCAGAGAAAATGAGTGTCTCACGTTAGTTGGATCACCCTGTATAATATAAATATGAAATGTAATTATCATAACTATTTTATTAAACTACATGCATATATAATAATACATTTTACTGATAATATTGTAAGATCATATTTTTATTAGATAATACTAAACGCGTATATACTGAACAAGCTATAAATCCCATTCCTACGACTCATGTCTCATCCTTACCCTTTTTTTACAACAACCAGTGCTACCAGAACTTTGCTACTTACATCCCATTCACTATTCACACTATATACGCTCTTCAAGAATGTACTAAATATTTCTACAGAGTTCAGGAATTTTTGAAAAAGTTCCGGAAAGTCATAGGAGGCTCTTGAAGTAATTTTTAAAAATCTATTTATTTATTTGAAAATAATTTTTACAATACATTTACCGTATCAATTCGCATGCTTAATTTTTTCATCCACATATCAGTCAATTAATAAGCAGCAAACCGTTTTATTACACTAATAAAATTGGTTTCGTTCAACGATTCTATTGTTGTAGTTATAGTGACATTTAGAACCTCATTGACGTATGCCAATAACTTTGATTTAGTTATTTCGACAGTAGGCAAAAATCTGCCCTCATAATATTTGAACGTTATTTCCATTTGCTTTATCACTTTATCCATGGTGTTAGCCGTATGCCTTGCAATACAGTCGTATATAATCCGTTCTAAATCAGCCATTTTAAATAGATTCTGTCGATTTAACAAGATGCGACATCCGCTTCGCGATTGTGATTCTATCGGACGTTTTCTCCCTTATACACCATTTTAGAAAGAATAATGTTGCTGTCAGAGAGAAATGTAATATTGGCATTTTTTTCGGGATTCTCTGGGATGTTTGAAAGTATGTATCCCGTTAACGAGTAAACTCTCTTTTTTTGATTTTATGTTATTTGCGTTATTTGAACAAAGTCAGCGTTATGGTGAGGCAAACTTGACCTACTCAACAAGACCCTCACCGTTCATTGTTCCAGTACATAGGTTTCAATACCACTACCAACAAGCGACTGTTTGAATAATTCAATACAATAACTGTTTTTCCCTTATTTCGATAAATAGTTTTTAAAGCACAATCACACCGTGATTTTAGTACGGTCCGGTGTAAGAAAACAAATATGAATTTATTTAAAAGAATAATACCAATAATAAAGTTCATATAGCCTTTTTGGAGTCTAAATCTGGGGATCAGCTAAGAATTCGAACCTTAACAAACTACAAGTCTCACAAAATAAAATACTCCGTCTCATCGCTAGTTCACCGCCTTATATATCAAACCATACTCTACACTCTGATTTACAAATAAAAACAATAACACAAGTTGCCAAAGACTACTACAGACGATACCACAATTCTCTTCAAAATCACCCAAACCCCCTTGTAAATAATCTCACATTACCCTCGATGCCTAACAACCCACCAAAGAGACTTAAAAGGAAGTGGTGCAGAGACCTTCTCACTATCCATTAATTAAAAACAAAGTTAATAAGAGTATCGTCAGTGGACGGCTTCTCTTTTCATACTTTCAATGTCTATAATTTACCTGTCATCATATATACTTGTTGTAATTAAATTTTATAGATCGTATATGTAAAATAAAGGAGGAAAAAAAATATATATAACCTTTTCAAAAGGTTTTAAATGAATATATAACAGAAAACAGTGCTGTGGGGTCAGGGTATAGTTAGGGAACCGAAACGGACAATTCATTGACCTGAGCGGAAATATTTTTCTAAAATGTATACAATTTTTAAACATAGTATATATTTAGTTAAAAATTAGACCAAAATGTATTTATTTTTGCATCAATCCATACTGCGTGACGTAAAACCCTATGAATTAAAATTGTAAAACTAAAAATGCAATGTATGGTTTTTGTTTCTACGAACAAATTAAAACGCCATACCATCTGATTTTGGTGCGCGATTTCGCATAGAATACCACATGTGTATATTTTATTAAGCCAAGGCTAAATGACATAAAGTGTTAACAGAAAACAGTAAAAATAAAATATAGTAAGTAATAAACCGTAGTATCAAAGTAAAAAAATATGTTATTTAGAGATTTAAAGAATTTAAATTTATTTCGATACTCAATATTCAGGTATACAATACTGACAACTACGTTTAATATTTTATTCAAAGATATAACTACAATAAAACTTAAGTCTAATAATTTAGTAGATCAAAACTGTATTAGCAAGAAGCCGACGAACTTTGGTTTATGTTAGGACACAATTCATTTCTTGGTGGAACAACTTTTTATTTAGTTATTTCAAATAGACACGAGCCCCTATAATAAGCGTTCTTTCTTTAAGACCATTTTTTTAATAGCTCAACCCAACTAGAAATGTAGTGTGCCCTTAAATTAACCATAAATTTAGTAGGATTGTCTTTGTATTTTTTGGAGAGTTACTTAAATACCTTAATTTATACATTACACAAGGTATAACTTATGCCCAATTTATTTTGTTATTTAAAGGGTTGCTTTTAATAAGGAACTTATTCATCAATAATTTTATGACTTAAAGCTCGGTATAATTATAATATTTATCACTATGATTTATTGTGATCGAAATATATCAAGAATATTTGAAATACTGGACAATTATTTTGAGGAACGCTAACCAAAGTTGTTTATTCCTAACAAAATATTTTATCCGGCACATGTGTTTTTTGTAAACAGGTTGTTCTGTTACTATCCAAATAACATTGCCATTTGCGACTTACTTTAATGACACTGCTTCTATATAGTTTGAAAAACATTTGTTAAATAATGTATACAGGGTAGATCTTTTAACGCCTTACACTACTTTTCTCAAAAACTACTTAGATTTTTACAAAAATAAAAATGTTTCATTAATTGTTTTGTGTATACTAACTTATTATGTACTACTTTTTTTTTTGTATTACCCCCGTGCCCCGAAAACTTAACACCAACTTTCGATTTTCAAATCAAAGTCCATTAAATAATTTCGTTTTTAGGTAGATAATATTATTTTTAAAATAATGACATATTGCAAGCTCAATACCAACAGTTAGTGTTAGAGCTATTAGCATTAGAAATAATAGACGTGCGGTGAAGGGGGTAAAATAATTGTTCGGTCTTATTCCATTTGGAAAATAAAATGGCCATTTATTTGGAAAATAACAGAACTTATCTTGAATATAAAAAAACACTTAAGGCTGATAACAAATTTCGTTAGCAATAAACAATTTAGGTTATCGTTGCATGAAAATATTGTCCAATGTTTCAAATATTCTTGATATTTTTCGAAAACTTTATAGTACACTTGTTTGACGATTTCTATTCATTATTATTGTTCCTACAATTCTTAGTTACCGCCAAATGACGGGCTGACATTAGATGCATGCAGTTTTATAAAATAATTATGATAAATATTGGGCAATTTTATTTTTTTAATGTTAATCGAAATTATTTATTGATAACGTCATGTTTGCTCATTCTTACAGGTTTTTTTGAAATATGTATCGTTTAGTTTATTTTTTTTTTTAAATAAATAAATAAACATTGCCATTTGCATCATATTTTAATACCGCTGTTACTACACAGTCTGAGTAAAACTTGCTAAATAATGTACGTATATCATTGTGTTCATTTACATTTTATTTTGTACATATTAAGGTTCTATATTGTAGAATTCACCGTCTATCGTAAGAGTATTTTTTAGAAAAACAAAAGTTAATTAGTACATTATGCAAAAGTTCACTATTTATTTTATTGTTTTCATTATCATGGAAATATCATTGGGTATAAATATCTTATTTGTATTTTTTTTTTTCAATACAAACTTAGGATTAACTAGATAATTATCATAGTTTTATGGCTTCTAATTAAATGGCAAATTAAAAGAAGTTATTATTTATATGAAAAAATTATTTTCATTTAAAATTTATGTAAGCGTGTATGAATTCATATTAAAACCTAATTTTGTTGTTTATATTTAGTCACACAGGGTCGACCATATCCAAGTATGTTTATAAATTATCTATAGCCAAATGTTTCACATACAATTTTATACACGTTTTCTATGTATCTTGTATATTTTTAATTATTTATTGTATAATCCTGTATCATGATCAGATTTACATTCCTTGTACGTTTGTTTTTGGAGTATTTACACGGTACAAAGACTAAACAAAATATTTAATAAAAATAATGATTTATTTATTTTTAATGAAAAGATAGAGACGAGGAAGTACCAAAACAAGAAGATTTGACGGAGTCACAGAAGAATCTGGGTAATTTCACGATTTTGTTATTATTACAAGCGTCAAAATGCTAAATACCAACGAATTTTTGGAGCACTCCCCCGAGGAACATTTCAAAACTCACTCTGGGTATCTGTTCCAACAAATAGAAATGTATTGTGCCCTTAAATTAACCTTAATTTTAGTTGTTCCATCTTTGTATTTTTTGTGAGTTACTTAATCACCTTAACTAGATTACCATTTAACCATATAACATATTGTCTTATCGTTATCGAAAAATATCAGGAATATTTGAAATGTTGGACAATAATTTCATGCAACGCTAACCAAAATTGTTTATTGCTAACAAAATATTCTTCGGCACGTTCGGTTATTTTCCAAATAACATTGCCATTTGAGTCATACTTTAATAATACATAGTTTCTATTGTTTGAAAAACATTTGTTAAATAATGTATATTATATACTGTTGAATATTATTTTTTTACACACAAGTTTCCAAATTTGGTAAACGTAATTGTTATTAAAAAGGAAAACTAAAAATTAGAGTTATTTTAGAAAAAATGTGTCTTATCCATTATGAATCATTTGTAAAATTTTTGTTTGAAAACAAAATATTTGATAAAAATAATGATTTATTTTTTTTTTTAATGAAAAGTTACAGCCCGGGATGTACCAATAGAAGGAGATTCGATGAAATCACAAAAGAACCTAGGTAATTTCAAGTTATTTTTTATATATACAATCGCCAGAACGTGAAATACGAAAAAACTTTTAGAGCACTCTCGCTTGGAACTTTTTGAAACGAACTCTGCGTGTCTGTTCCTACGAAAAGAATGTTTATCGTCAGTAAATCAATATTTTTGATCCTGTCATGTAAATTGATGATCATATTTTTAGTTTTTTCCTTTATTCTTTTTTTAATGGCTTTTCATAGTATCTTTGGACGTTGTATACTTACTTTTTCGTGTTGCCAAATATTTGAGAATTTCGTATCGTAGATTCCTATTTAAACTCGTCCAATTTTTATATTTATAAATACTGTTATGTTAATTTAAAGTTAACAAATATATATAATAATGATATGTATAATTTGTTAAATTATAGCTGTCAAGAAAAAGCGTTCTACAGGTATAGTATAGACATTAGAGTTGGTAGTTGCCTAATGTGCACTTTATTTATTATATTTTTATAATTGAATTATTATTTTTGTGTACCACAAAGTCAGTTCTTTTTCATATTATTGCCGTTCTTTTTTCCCGTGATTTTCGTCGAACCTTTTCTATAACAATACAAGTTCAAACCACCAGCAATACATTAGATGTGTTAATATTCATCTACTGAAATTAGAATAGTATCCCTCTTGACAGTTTAAAAATCGTGTAAGAAATGTTATATTTAAAGCTATTATTTTCTTACACATTCACTATTAAAAATGTTTTACTGTAATAAGTTTTCAAATGAAGAAAATGTTTTTTTTTTGTATTTTAGGCTGTATGTCTTCAATAAAAAAAAGTATGTTTTTCATCACTTATTACTTTGTTTTATTTAATTTTGTTTGAACAATTGAATATGGTACGAAAAATATTCACGATAAAAGCTAATTCATTTTGGACGTCCAAAATGTCTTGTTCATTTATTTTGAAATGTTCGATTATTAATAATTCTACAATCAAATATCTTTGAAATAATTTGAACACGTTGTATACACTGTAATATAAATTATATTATTATAAAACGCATCCAACTTGACAAAAAGTTAACAGCTTTTAACGAAACACTGTTTCGAAAATGTGACAGACCTCTACATTAAACTGGTTTAGTGTGATGTTATCATCAACAAGTTATGTACCGAGGCACATAAGTTAGTACAGTTTTGTGACTTCAATTAGATTACATCATTTTGTGGTTATTTAAAAATGTACCCTAATTAATTTTTATTCATAATCTTCGTTATGCTTTTAATTACCCAATACTTATTTGCTTAGATGCTTGTAAAGTAGCCGGAGCTCTTTTGTGTGCAGTGTGTTTTCGACAAATGAATCACCCATAGGAGATTCTACTAAATGTTTAAACAATCCGTGCGTGTGCAAAGGTAGATAATCATTACTTATTTTTAAAACATATATTTTTTTAAGTAGAAAAGTTAACGTTATTAATTGGGTGATTCACTTATATAATCTTAAAACATAAAATAGCATCGTTTAGCATTCGAATTGGTTCACTATATTTCGGTCGTGATAGGAAATCGAAAACGCAGTTTCCATCCGCGCTGTAAAGTCGATTTTCGAGCACCTCTTATTTACGTTTAAGTTAAGTTAGTCGAATTTGCAAATGTCCCTTTTTAATATTACTAAAAATTATTATTTTCTTCCAATAATACATAATCTTTCCTTAGAGATCTAAAGAAAATACAAAACATGATTAATTAAAAAAATTTTTATAACATAGGTAACATTATACAAATTCATTATATTTAACATACGAATTAATAAAGTTTTTTTTAACAGAACGTATCCAATGAGAACAATCTAATTTGCAGAAATATACAGTTAAAAATACAGATTTTAAATAAATATAAATGTACAAAATTAAATTGTGTACGCTATTACTAAACCAAAAACATATTATACATGACGAATTCATAATAAACTTCTACTATCTGGCAAATTAAAATATCTTGTTTTGCATTAGTACAAGTTTTCAAACTTGGTTACTATATTTTTACCCGATTTTATTATTATAGCTTTGTTCAAGTGCAATGTGAACACTGTTTAAATAATTCAAAACAATTGTTGTGAAAAAAATGTGTAACTATTTAAATTCTATATCTGAAATTTCGCTGTTGGTGTATACATGTTTTTCCCTTATATCGCTAAATAATTTTTAAAACACAATCACAATGTGGTTTTAGTACGGTCCGGTGTATGAAAACTAATATGAAATTATTTTAAAAAATAATGTCGATAGCAAAATTTATATAACCCTTACAAAAGGTTTTAAATGAATATATAACAGAAAACAGTGCTGTGGGGTCAGGGTATAGTTAGGGAACCGAAACGGACAATTCATTGACTTGAACGGAAATATTTTTCTAAATTTTATACAATTTTTAAAAATTGTATATATTTAGTTAAAAATCAGACCAAAATGTGTTTATTTTTGCATCAATATATTGACATACTGGGTGACTTTATACCCTATGGATTAATATTGGAACGCTAAAAATCCAATGTATGGTGTTTGCTTCTACGAAAAAATTAAAACGCTATACAATCTGAATTTGTTGCGCGATTTGGCATAGAATACCACATGTGTTTTGCTTATATTTTAATAAGCCAAGGTTAAATTACACAAGGTGTTAACAGAAATTTTATTCAAAGATATAACTAAAATAAAACTTGCATAAAATGATTTACAGTCTAATAATTTAGTAGACCAAAACTGTAGAAGCTTAAAAAAAAAATCGTTTTCAAGTGTCTTTTGAAAAAGCCTTTTGAAACCATATTATAAAGCCAAAATAAGATAATTTACACTAGTATACCATCAATCCTTTTAATCAGCATTTGTTGTTAAAACAAGTAGTTATGAAAAGAGATTTGAGTTATTAGGCTACTGTACTGTATTATATAGGAGGCCGATTTTCATTTAAAAACTCCAGTTAATTTGCAATAAATTATTTGGTTTTTAAAACTAGGCATGTGAGTCAATGACAGTTTTGTGTTTTTATGAACGCTTTTTTGTCACTACTATTATCTAATGAACACCTATTGTCAATCTGAAGAAAATTATGTTTTATACTAGATAGCGTCATAAAAAAAATGGCAAATTCGCTGTGAATGAATTTTGCCAAGTAGCCGACGAAATTCGGTTTATGTTGGGACATTAAATGTATTGTGCCCTTATATTAAGTAAAATCTTAGCTGTACCATCATTGTATTTTTTTGAGAGTTACCTAATCACCTTAATTTATAGATTAACATATATATTTAACATTTTGTCTTATCGTTATCGAAAAATATCAATAATATTTTAAATATTAGACAATTTCATGCAATGCCAACCAAAATTCTGGTACGTGTTTTTTTAGAAACATGTACGTTCTGCAATTTTCCAAATAACATTGCCATTTGCGTCATAAACAACATTGTTTCTATATAGTTTGAAAAACATTTGTTAAATAATGTATACAGGGTAATTCTGTTAACGCCCCACACTACATTTCTCAAAAACTATTTAGTTTTTTTCGAAAAAAAATGTTTAATTAATAATTGTTACTATATAAAATACTCAGTTATTATACACTACTTTTTTTGGTATATCCGCCATTCTCCGAAAACTTGACACCAACTTTTTATTTTCAAATGAAACTCCTATAAATAATTTAGTTTTTAGATAGATAACATTATATTTAAAAAATGACATATTGCAAGCTCAATTCCAAAAGTTAGTGTTAGAGCTATTAGCATTAGAAATAATAGACGTGCGGTGAAAAGCGTGAAATATTTGTTCGGTCTTATGCCATTTGGAAAATGAAATGGCTATTTATTTAGAAAATAACAGAACATATCTTGTTTCTAAAAAACACTTAAGGCTGATAACAAATTTCGTTAGCAATAAACAATTTAGGTTAGCATTGCATGAAATTATTGTCCAATACTTAAAATATTCCTGATATTTTTCGAAAGTTTTGCAGTACACTTCTTAGTTACTGTCAAATGGCAGACTGACATTAGATGCATGCAGTTTTATAAAATAATTATGATAAATACATGCCCCATATATTTTAAATATTAAGCAATTATTATTTTTTTAATGTTGATCGAAATTATTTATTGATAACGTAATGTTTGCTCATTCTTACAGGTTTTTTTGAAATATGTATCTTTAGTTTATTTTTTTTTTTTTAATAAATAAATAAACATTGCCATTTGCATCATATTTTAATACCGCTGTTACTACACAGACTTAGTAAAACTTGCTAAATAATGTATATTATTATGTTCATTTAAATTTTATTCTGTACATTTTAGGGTTCTATATCGTAGAATTCATTGTCTATCTCTAGAGTATTTTTCAGAAAAACAAAAGTTCATTGGTACATTATGCAAAAGTTCACTATTTATTTTATTGTTTTCATTATCATGGAAACATCATTGGGTAAATTTTATTTTATTTGTTCTTACAATTCATTCTCAGGTTCAACTCTATAATTATCATAGTTTTATGGCTTCTAATTAAATGGCAAATTAAAAGAAGTTATTTTTATGGAAAATTTATACTCATTTCAAAATTATGTAAGCGAGTATGAGTTTATATTAAAACCTAATTTTGTTTTTTATATTTAGGCACACAGGGTCGACCATATCCAAGTATGTTCATAAATTATATACAGCTATATGATTTACACACAATTTTACATACGTTTTCTATGTATCTTGTAGACTTTTAATTATTTATTGTATATTATGACCGTGTAGTAATTTACACCTAAAAGTAGATAATAGTACCATTACAGATCACATTCCTTGTACGTTTGTTTTTGGAGTATTTACATGGTACCAAAATTAAACAAAATATTTGATAAAAATAATGATTTATTTATTTTATAATGAAAAGCTGGCGACGAGGAATCACTAAAACAAGAAGATTTGACGGAGTCACAAAAGAATCTGGGTAATTTCATAATTTTTTTATTATAACAAGCGTCAAAATGCTAAATACCAACGAACCTTTGGAGCACTCTCCCTAGGAACATTTCAAAACTCATTCTGGATATCTGTTCCAACAAATAGAAATGTATTGTGCCCTTAAATTAACCTTAATTTATTTGTTCCATATTTGTATTTTTTTGTGAGTTACTTAATCACCTTAATTTATAGATTACTATTTAACCATATAACATATTGTCTTATCGTTATCGAAAAATATCAGGAATATTTGAAAAATATTGGATAATAATTTCATGCAACGCTAACCAAAATTGTTTATTGCTAACAAAATATTCTTCCGTACGTTGGGTTATTTTCCAAATAACATTGCCATTTGAGTCATACTTTAATAATACATAGTTTCTATTGTTTGAAAAACATTTGTTAAATAATGTATATTATATACTTTTGAATATATTTTTTTTCCAATTTTAGTAAACGTAATTGTTATTAAAAAGGAAAACTAAAAATTAGAGTTATTTTAGGAAAAATGTGTCTTATCCATTATGAATCATTTGTAAAATTATTTGAAAACAAAATATTTGATAAAAATTATGATTTATTTATTTTTTATGAAAAGTAACAGCCCGGGATATATCAATACAAGGAGATTCGATGGAGTCACAAGAGAACCCGGGTAATTTCACGTTGTTTTTTAATTATACAAGCGCCAGAACGTCAAATACGAAAAAATTTTTAGAGCACTCCTTCTCAGAACTTCTCGAAATGTACTCTGCGTGTCTGTTCCAACGAAAAGAATGCTTTTCGTTAGTAAATAAATTATTTTGGGTATGTCATGTAAATTGATGATCATGTTTTTTCCTTTACTCTTTTTTTAAATTGTTTTTTTATTGGACGTTATATACTAAAAAGCTTACTTTTTCGTGTCGCCCAATATTTGAGAATATCGTATCGTACATCGTTATCGACCAGTCAACTTTTTTAGTACTTTTTTCTCAATTAAAATTGCTAACAAAATGTATGTGATACCATTTAAAATCCAAAAATTGTTATCACAAAAATTAAGTTGGGTGGGGAGGGGGTAAAAACTAAAAAAAAAGTTAAAGAATGAGATTTAATTATATAAAAATATAATGAAAAAAATAATTAATTTTTTATTTTACTCTATGATTAATTGAGTGGCCGATGATAAAAAAAATCACCCTGTATAGTATTGACCAGATAAGTCTACGAATTTCAATAGAGGTTTAATTTTTTTTATGTAAAAGCTGCACCAAAGTACTTACAGAACCTTATAAAACATGACTCCGGTTTAAACTCCTTCAGTTTTTATTATTCTAAGTACTATTATTTCAATTTAAAGTTAGCAAACATTAATTTGATATGTATAATTTGTTGAATTATAGCTGGCGATAAAAAATGTTCAGGTATAGTATAGACAGTAGAGTTAGTAATTGCTTAATGTGCACTTCCTTAATTACTTTTTTAAACATTTTATTATTATTTTAGTATACCACAAAGTCAGTTATTTTTCTTATCATTGTCGTTCTTTTTTCCCGTGATTTTCGTCGAACCCTATCTCTAACACTCTAAGTTCAAACCACCAGCAATACATGAGATGTGTTAATATTCATGGACTGGAATAAGTATCGTGTCCCTCTTAACAGTTTTAAAATCACGTAAAAAATGTTAAACTTAAGACTATAATTTTTTTACATATTCACTATTAAAAATGTTTCATTGTAATAAGTTTTCAAATAAATAAAAAATGTTTGTTTGTATTTTAGGCTGTATGTCTTCAATAAAAAAACGTATGTTTTCATCACTTATTACTTTGTTTTATTAAATTTTGTTTGAACAATTGAATATGGTACGAAAAATATTCACGATAAAAGCTAGTTCATTCATTTCATCATTTTGTATTCATTTAAAAATGTACACTAACTAATTTTTATTTAAAATCTTTATTATGAATATTATCATTACAATTTTACTTACCTAATACTTATTTGCTTAGATGCTTGTAAAGTTGGCGGAGCTCTTTTGTGTGCAGCGTGTTTTCAACAAACCCATAAGGCCACCCTGAGATCTAATGAAAATACAAAACATGATTAATTTAAATTGTTTTTTTATAACATAGGTAACATTATACAAATTCATTATATTTAACCTACGAATTAATATTTTTTTTTTTTTACAGAAAGTATTTAATGAGAACAATCTAATTTGCAGAAATATACAGTTAAAAATACAGATTTTAAATAAATATAAATGTACAAAATTAAATTGTGTAAGCTATTACTAAACCAAAAACATATTATACTTGACGAATTCATAATAAACTTCTACTATCTGGCAAATTTAAATTATCTTGTTTTGCATTAGTACAAGTTTTCAAACTTGGTTACTATATTTTTACCCGATTTTATTATTATAGCTTTGTTCAAGTGCAATGGAATACTGTTTAAATAATTCAAAACAATTGTTGTGATAAAAAATTTGTAACTATTTAAATTCTATATCTGAAATTTCGCTGTTATTTTGGATATACAATATACAATAACTGTTTTTCCCTTATATCGATAAATAATTTTTAAAACACAATCACACTGTGGTTTTAGTACGGTCCGGTATATGAAAATGAATATGAAATTATTTTAAAAAATAATGCCGATAATATAATTTATATTACCCTTACAAAAGGTTTTAAATGAATATACAACAGAAAACAGTGCTGTGGGGTCAGGGTATAGTTAAGGAACTGAAACGGACAATTCATTGACTTGAACGGAAATATTTTTCTAAATTTTATACAATTTTTAAAAATTATACATCTGAATTTGATGCGCGTTTTGGCGTAGAATACCACATGTGTTTTGCTTATATTTTAATAAGCCAAGGTTAAATTACACAAGGTGTTAACAGAAATTTTATTCAAAGATATAACTAAAATAAAACTTGCATAAAATGATTTACAGTCTAATAATTTAGTAGACCAAAACTGTAGAAGCTTAAAAAAAAAATCGTTTTCAAGTGTCTTTTGAATGAGCCTTTTGAAACCATATTATAAAGTTTAAAGCCAAAATAAGATAATTTACACTAGTATACCATCAATCCTTTTAATCAGCATTTGTTGTTAAAACAAGTAGTTATGAAAAGAGATTTGAGTTATTAGGCTACTGTACTATATTATATAGGAGGCCGATTTTCATTTAAAAACTTCAGTTAATTTGCAATAAATTATTTGATTTTTAAACTAGGCATGTGAGTCAATGACAGTTTTGTGTTTTTATGAACGCTTTTTTGTCACTACTATTATCTAATGAACACCTATTGTCAATCTGAAGAAAATTATGTTTTATACTAGATAGCGTCATAAAAAAAATTGCAAATTCGCTGTGAATGAATTTTGCCAAGTAGCCGAAGAAATTCGGTTTATGTTGGGACATTAAATGTATTGTGCCCTTATATTAAGTATAATCTTAGTTGTACCATCATTGTATTTTTTTTAGAGTTACCTAATCACCTTAATTTATAGATTAACATATATATTTAACATTTTGTCTTATTGTTATCGAAAAATATCAGGAATATTTTAAATATTAGACAATTTCATGCAATGCTAACCAAAATTCTGGTACGTGTTTTTTTAGAAACATGTACGTTCTGTAATTTTCCAAATAACATTGCCATTTGCGTCATAAACAACACTGTTTCTATATAGTTTGCAAGCTCAATTCCAACAGTTTATTCCAACATATAGTTTGAAAAACATTTGTTAAATAATGTATACAGGGTAATTCTGTTAACGCTATATCAAACTCCTATAAATAATTTAGTTTTTAGATAGATAATATTATATTTAAAAAATGACATATTGCAAGCTCAATTCCAAAAGTTTGTGTTGGAGCTATTAGCATTAGAAATAATAGACGTGCGGTGAAAAGCGTGAAATATTTGTTCGGTCTTATGCCATTTGGAAAATGAAATGGCTATTTATTTAGAAAATAACAGAACATATCTTGTTTCTAAAAAACACTTAAGGCTGATAACAAATTTCGTTAGCAATAAACAATTTAGGTTAGCATTGCATGAAATTATTGTCCAATACTTAAAATATTCCTGATATTTTTCGAAAGTTTTGCAGTACACTTCTTAGTTACTGTCAAATGGCAGACTGACATTAGATGCATGCAGTATTATAAAATAATTATGATAAATACATGCCCCATATATTTTAAATATTGAGCAATTATTATTTTTTTAATGTTGATCGAAATTATTTATTGATAACGTAATGTTTGCTCATTCTTACAAGTTTTTTTGAAATATGTATCGTTTGGTTTATTTTTTTTTTTTTAATAAATATATAAACATTGCCATTTGCGTCATATTTTAATAACACTGTTACTACATACACAGTGTGAGTAAACTTGCTAAATAATGTATATTATTATGTTCATTTACATTTTATTTTGTACATATTAAGGTTCTATATTGTAGAATTCACCGTCTATCGTAAGAGTATTTTTTAGAAAAACAAAAGTTAATTAGTACATTATGCAACAGTTCACTATTTATTTTATTGTTTTCATTATCATGGAAACATCATTGGGTAATTTTAATTTGTATTTTTTCTTACAATTCATTCTCAAGTTCAACTCTATAATTATCATAGTTCTATGGCTTCTAATTAAATGGCAAATTAAAAAAAGTTATTTCTATGGAAAATTTATATTCATTTCAAAATTATGTAGGGAAGTATGAAATTATATTAAAACCTAATTTTGTTGTTTATATTTAGTCACACAGGGTCGACCATATCCAAGTATGTTCAAAAATTCTATACAGTTATATATTTCACTTACAATTTTATACAAGTCTTATAAGTATCTTGTATATTTTTAATTATTTATTATATAATATGACCGCGTAGTAATTTACACCTAAAAGTAGATAATAGTACCATTACAGATTACATTTCTTATACGTTTGTTTTCGGAGTATTTAATCGGTACAAAAACTAAATAAAATATATGATAAAAATAATGATTTATTTATTTTATAATGAAAAGCTAGTGACGAGGAATTACTAAAACAAGAAGATTTGACGGAGCCACAGAGGAATCTGGGTAATTTCACGATTTTTTTGTTATTACAAGCGTCAAAATGCTAAATACCAACGAACCTTTGGAGCACACCCCCGAGGAACTTTTCGAAACCCACTCTGAGTATCTGTGTTTTTCAGTAAATCAATTTTTTTCGTTTATTTTGGTCCTTTCATTTAAATGGATAATCATATTTTTAAGAAAACTCTCCGTGCTTACATATTTCTATGCATACTGTTTGAAAGTGGTAATATTTGTAAAAAAGCATCCAATATTAGTCTTGACTTGTTATTTAGTTATTTCAACTAGAAATTTATTGCGCCCTTAAATTAACCATAATTTTAGTTGACCCATCTTTGTATTTTTTTGTTAGTAACTTAAACTTAATTATAGGTTAACAAATATATTTAACATTTTTACTTATTGTTATTTAAAAATATTATGAATATTTGAAATATTGGACAATAATTTCATGTAACGCTAACCAAAATTTTTTTTTGCTAACAAAATATTTTATACGGCACGTTTGGTTATTTTCCAAATAACATTGCCATTTGCATCTCACTTTAATAATACATAGTTTTTATTATATACTGTTGAATATTTTTTTTTTTACACACAAGTTTCCAAATTTGGTAATTGTAAATGTTATTAAAAAGAAAACTAGAAATTAGAGTTATTTTAGAAAAAAAAGTGTCTTATCCTTTATGAATCATTTGTAAAATTTTTATTTGAAAACAAAATATTTGATAAAAATAATGATTTATTTTTTTTTTAATGAAAAGTTACAGCCCGGGATGTACCAATAGAAGGAGATTCGATGGAGTCACAAAAGAACCTAGGTAATTTCAAGTTGTTTTTTATATATACAATCGCCAGAACATGAAATACGAAAAAACTTTTAGAGCACTCTCGCTTGGAACTTTTTGAAACGAACTCTGCGTGTCTGTTCCTACGAAAAGAATGTTTTTCGTCAGTAAATCAATATTTTTGATCCTGTTATGTAAATTGATGATCATATTTTTAGTTTTTTCCTTTATTCTTTTTTTAATGGCTTTTCATAGTATCTTTGGACGTTATATACTTACTTTTTTGTGTTGCCAAATTTTTTAGAATTTCGTATCATAGATTCCTATTTAAACTCGTTCAATTTTTATTTTTATAAAAACTGTTATGTTAATTTAAAGTTAACAAATATTGATATGATATGTATAATTTGTTAAATTATAGCTGTCGAGAAAAAGCGTTCTACAGGTATAGTATAGACATTACAGTTGGTAGTTGCCTAATGTGCACTTTATTTATTATATTTTTATTCACTATTAAAAATGTTTTACTGTAATAAGTTTTCAAATAAAGAAAATGTTATTTTTTTGTACTTTAGGCTGTATGTCTTCAATAAAAAAACGTATGTTTTTCATCACTTATTACTTTGTTTTATTTAATTTTGTTTGAACAATTGAATATGGTACGAAAAATATTCACGATAAAAGCTAATTCATTTTGGACGTCCAAAATGTCTTGTTCATTTATTTTGAAATGTTCGATTATTAATAATTCTACAATCAAATATCTTTGAAATAATTTGAACACGTTGTATACACTGTAATATAAATTATATTATTATAAAACGCATCCAACTTGACAAAAAGTTAACAGCTTTTAACGAAACACTGTTTCGAAAATGTGACAGACCTTTACATTAAACTGGTTTAGTGTGATGTTATCATCAACAAGTTATGTACCGAGGCACATAAGTTAGTACAGTTTTGTGACTTCAATTAGATTACATCATTTTGTGCTTATTTAAAAATGTACCCTAATTAATTTTTATTCATAATCTTCGTTATACTTTTAATTACCCAATACTTATTTGCTTAGATGCTTGTAAAGTAGCCGGAGGTCTTTTGTGTGCAGTGTGTTTTCAACGAGTCCATAAAAACCACCCTGAGATCTAATAAAAATACAAAGCATGATTAATTTAAAAAAATTTTTATAACATAGGTAACATTATACAAATTAATTATGTTTAACATACGAATTAATAAAGTTTTTTTTTTTAACAGAAAGTATCCAATGAGAACAATCTAATTTTCAGAAATATATAGTTAAAAATACAGATTTTAAATAAATATAAATGTACAAAATTAAATTCTGTACACTATTACTAAACCAAAAATATATTATACTTGACGAATTCATAATAAACTTCTACTATCTGGCAAATTTAAATGATCTTGTTTTGCATTAGTACAAGTTCAAACTTGGTTACTATATTTTCACCAAATTTTATTATTATAGCTTTGTTCAAGTACATTGTGAATATGATTCCGCTATCGTTATAGCTTGTATCAACATTTTGCATAATCTTAAAAAGGTTTGTCTAGATAAATCGGTGGGTTAAATTAAAATATAATAACTGTGATTGGCTGAGGTGTTTTGAATGTGGCATGTTATCCTTTGACACTTGATTTGGTGTAAATGAAGAATTCTAGAAACCTTAAGTGATGACGCGGTCGTACCGTCGGCACAACACTAGGTTTGAGGATTAATTAAATGATTTAAGCTCAAAGGTTCGGCTAGAACAAAAAGGTTTATAAAAACTTGTCAAACATGTTGACGACCAGTCCAAAGTTTTAGCAAATAAACCTTTTTTTTTAAAGTTATTTTAATATTTACATTATACAATACCATTTAAGTTTCCAAAGTTAATAGCTCTCGGGAATTACAAAAAAAAATGATACTATTTAGTGGATGTTAATAAAATTGTAAGATTATCACCTTGTATACATCATAAAGTTATGTATATTTTGTATATGAAATGGTTATTTTCTGTACTGCCCTCCTAAAGATAAACACAATAAACTCCAATTAAAAAAAAATATTTTATTATTTCGTATACCTGGTATACCACTTTTTGTTCTAAGATAAAAAACAGTAAATTAACTAGATATGCTTTTAGAAGTTAATACAAAATGTAGTATCGACTAAAAGGTTTTTCAATACAAGTGAAAACATAGTTGGTTTTTCAAACAGACCGAAAAAATAGTTATAAAACCACCATGTCCTTCTTCGATCATTGTAAATGAATTGATCTAAAAGTGCATTTTAATGCACAAGTGTGTCCTTATGAAGATTTTCGTGCCGATTACTATAATAGATTATTTTCATTGTTCTATTAAGCATATATTGACTTTCAAAAATCGTACTATGATCATCTTTCGACTGCTCCACTTCTTACCAGAGCTAATTTTTTAAAATTTACGCCAGTGGCAGTTATTGACCACACACATCAAGATGATGACTTAAAAGTATCAACAATGGATTTACGCGTAGAATTTGAATCTGCAGATGCGTTTCCTGCAAATACCTCAGCCTACTGTATCCAGCCGTTGGTCTGTTGGCGTTAGAAAATTGTAATTTTTTTTACAAAATAATTAATTTGTATATTATTGTTTTTTAATGTTGATTTTTTAAAAAAAATATAAAAACTATTTTTTATGCTACGATTTTTTTTTTTTTTAACCATAGCAATTAATAATATCAAATGTACAGAGTATGGATTTCAAATTCAAGTTTGCCAAGTGCCCATGTGTTTCACTCTGTATGTTGAAACATATTGAATGTTACCGGTGTGGATGTGGAGAACTGCGAGTCAGTTTTATCGTTCCATATTGTATGAAGTTAAGCTATCAATTTCATCACACTCCTAAATAAATATTAATTTTTTTAAATTAAAAATCTATTTATTTATTTTAAAATAATTTTTACAATACCTTTACCGTATCAATTCGCATGCTTAATTTTTTCATCCACAAATCACCAATTTTCATTTTAAAAAATCAGTTAATTAGCAATAAATTAATCGATTTTTATACATTTAGCTAAATGATTTAAGCTCGATGAATTGGCTAAAATATAAAGGTTTATGAATCGATACATGCAAATTCAATAACAATATTGTAATTAACAAATATAGTTTATAAAACGCTTATAGATCTACCTTTTCATCCGTCAAACGCCAAAATAAAAAATTATGTTTTTTTGTATACCTGGTAAGTTACCTGACTAATTTTACAAAATAATAATTTCAAAAATTCTCAGGACTAAAACCAACGCAGACAAATTATTAAGTGAAAGTCATTTTAATAGACAATATTTAAAAAACAATCTTCTTCATTTTTGCCTTATACTCCCAACTACATAAGAAATCATTAGAAATCAAAAAACTAATTTTCCCAACAATTAGATATTTGTAGACACTGCATATATCTTTATGAGTGAAGTATAAATCTACATTCTGTAACAATGAGTAAATTCTCTGGATAATTTCTACTAATATAAGAAAACTACTGATATAAAAAAAAATCAACAAAAATGCCATGTTAGCTCAGTGTAAATGATCGCAACATAACTTCTAAGTAGTATGTCATATCAAAATCAGAAATTATTTACTAGTGTATTACGTGCCGACCATTGTTTTTTGAAGAAAAGGTTTAATTGAAATAATACACACCAAAAGATTCATATTTCCATTAAATTACTACCGAAGTAAAATCATTTAGTAATTTTAATGAAACATTTTATTTTTGTAAAAATCTAAGTAGTTTTTGAGAAAAGTAGTGATGGGCGTTAAAATATCTACCCTGTATACATTATTTAACAAATAATTTTTAAACTATATAGAAACAGTATTATAAAAATATGACGCCAATGACATTGTTATTTGGAAAATAACACAAAATATCATGTTCCTAAAAACCATATTATGAGCCGGATAATATATTTTGTTAGCAATAAACAATTTTGGATAGCGTTGCATGAAAATATTGTCCAATATTTCAAATATTTCTGATATTTTTTAAACACAATAGGTCAAAATGTTATTTAACATTTTATTCGTTTGAATATTTTATTGACATAGAAGTTTCCAAATTTAGTATATGTAAATGTTTTTTAAAAAGGAAAATTAAAAATTAGAATTAACTTAAGAAAAAAAGTTTCATATCCTTAATGAGTCATCTGTATATATCATAAAAGATATTTTTGATATATCTATACTATTGATTTATATATAACCATCCTAAACAGAAAAAATATATAGTTGGCCCCACTTAAACTATGGTTATTATAGGGACACAATACATTTCTAGGTGGCATAACTAGATAAGTAGTTGGCCGAACTAAATGTTTACTGGAACAACATTTTATTTAGTTATTTCAACTAGAAATGTATTGACCCACTATAATAAGCATACTCTAATTTAGACCAACTTTATAATAACTCAGTCCAACTAGAAATGTATTGTGCCCTTATATTAACTATAATTTTAGTTGGAACAGCTTTGTATCGTTTGGAGAGTTAGGGACGTCTCCCACCCAAGTAACACGTGAAAAATGATACGATGAGTAAATTACAAGTGACAAGTGTCAAAACACTCCCACTAAAATTAGGTAATTTTTAGTCATATGACACCTAAACATACTTTGCCTAAACTTAATTTAATTTTTATAAAATGTCATCAGAAGATGAAGACGTACTGGCTGCTGTAAACATAATTAACTTCTTAAATCATAATCAAGGACGTATTGTGCAAAATAATTGGGTTCATCCATTTTTTTTTTTATCCATTTTAGCGTAAAAATTGTAATAGTCATGGTGTTTACTCCGTGTTTAAAGAATTAAACAATGCTGATAGATTTAAAAGTTTCTATAAAATGGACAATTCTAAATTTGAAGAGTTGGTTTGACTAGCTGTTAGACCCAGTATTCAAAAAAAAGACACAAATTTTAAAGATCACTATGTCCTAAAAAACATCTACTTATAACTCTAAGGTGAGTCAAATAAATTATTTTATTATTTTTATTAATATTGTTTTAATTATTTCAAACTATTTTTTACTATATCAAACTACACTATATTGTCTTTATAAACATTTAATTAGTCAGTATATCAATATAAAAAAGGGGGTGTACTCATATAATTATTATAGCTACATTAAAAGAAAACTGTAAACTAAAAGAATTAATTATTAAAACACAATTGCACATAATAAACACAACTAACTTTAATAAACCGATGCCTTTTAAAAACATGAATGTAGAAAACTAATACAGAAAATCAAAATGAATGTAGACAATTAAAAAATTAATACCATTGTTGAGAGTAGACGATATCTTCACTGGCTTCATTGAGGTGAGATTGAGGTCTGTTTGGTATACCAACTATTGTTGGTATATTTGATGAAATTGCGGAGCTTGAGAACAAATTGGACTGCTGTTGACTAGAAGACGTTTTTGGTCCACTTGAAATTTTAGGTTCACTTAAAATACTTCCAGCTATGCTAATCATTTGAATTTTATAACGCCTTTTTTGGTCTTCGTACATTTTTCTCATATCTGGCAACAAACTTTTTAAAAAACATAAATCAATGTCTTCTTCAGGCACCATTTTTTTCCTTTTGCTTATATAGAAATCAAAGGCATCTTTGTTAACTTCATCCAACTGGACAGACTGACGTTTCTTTATCAAGATGGGCTTTATAGTGCAGGTTTTTAATGGCTGATTATCTTCGACAACTTCAGAAAGCTCTTCTTCGTCAGTGTCTGGGACATCTTTAGGCAAATCATTGTCATCATCATCATTTTCGTTAATGTTTTCTGCGAGTTCTGACTGTTCTACTGTTGATATTGGTGATATATTAACTAGACAAACATAAATATTTTTATTAACATTTTGCTTACAAAATATAAAAATATGTTTTTCTACAAACCAGTTTGTTTCCGAGTTTTTGTAAATGGCTCTAAAAATTTCATATACTCTGACAAGTAGTATGGTCGTTTGAATTTTGCGCCTGATCCTGATGGTAATTTATTTTTTAAATACCTGGTATAACACGCCCGAAGATTCTTATACCTTTCTTTACATTCTGGTACTAAAAATATTAAATAATAAAATTAGTATTTATAATACTTATAGATATACTTGAATTATGAGAACAATTAAATTAAAAACAAGTTAACATTAAAAATGATGACGACCTTATACCTAATTATATTAATATATAACTAAATTATTCATTTAATGGTTGAATTAAGTAAATTAGTTTAGTAAATAAATTTATATTTATATTATTTAGTTTTTTTTTTATTAAGAATTTTGCTGGTGATTCCTCTATGAAAGCTATTGCTTACTATTTTTTAAGAGGTGAAACTACTGTACGAAACATAGCTGTCGAAACTACAAATGAAGTGATATGGAAAGTTTTACAACCTCTATGCATGGTGAAGCCTTCAAAAGAAATATGAAATATTGTAGCTAAACGCTATCAAGAATTATGGAATTTACTTGATTGCGTCGGTAGCATCGTGGGAAAACATATGTGCGTCAAATCTCCAGCGAACTCCAGATCAGCGTTTCATAAATGTAAAGTGATAAAATTGAATAAAATCACTTTCAAATAAACGCTTTGATGCTTATTTGTAAATACAGCACCTCAGTTTAATACATTCTAACTTTGCTGGTTTATACTGTGCTTGGTTTGGACTGCACTGGCTTAAAAATACTAACTAGGTACCGATTTGCATCGAAGGGTTTTTTCGAAAGTGATTTTATCACTTTCAGATTTAAAAATTCCTATAAACCTGTGACCTGCCCGTCCCCACTATGCCACGAACCAACTATGCTCCATCCCCACCATGCTCCGTCACCACTGAGCCCCACCTTTCTGTACTGGATTTTTAGTTTGCTTTTTTTAAATCATTTACAGTTTTTAAATTTGGAAACTTATGCGTCAAAAAAATATTCAAATGAATACGTTATTTAACAAACGTTATTCAAAATATATTGATTTTGTAAAATCACTTACAATTTTTAAATTTTAAAACTTATGCGTCAAAAAAGTATTCATTTGATTATAAATTACATTATTTAACAAACGTTATTTAAACTATATAGGAACAGTGTTATAAAAGTATGACGCAAATGGCAATGTTATTTAGAAAATAACAGAACGCACATGTTTCTAAAATAACACACGTGCCGGATAAAACTGTTCGTTAGAAATAAATAATTTTGGTTAGCGTTGCATGAAATTATTGTTCAATATTTAAATATTCCTGATATTTTTCGATAACAATTAGTAAAAATGTTAAATATATATGTTAACCTATAAATTAAGGTGTTTGAGTAACTCTCAAAAAAATACAATGATAGAACCACTAAAATAATAGTTAATATATATAAGGGCACAATATATTTCTATTTTAGTTATTACAAAGTTGGTCTAAATTGAAGTACGCTTATTATAGGGGTTCAAAAAATATCTTGTCTAAAGAACTAAATAAAAAGTTGTTCCAGTAATTATGTTTGGCCAACTATTTGTTTCGTTGTTTCACCTAGAAATTGATGTATCCCTATATTAAACATAGTTTTAGTTGGACTAACTATATTTTTTTCTTGTAGGAGGGTGGTATACAAATCAATTGTATAGATAATATCAAATATGGGTTTTATGTTGAATGCAGATGAGTCATTAAGGATAGTTCGCTTTTATTACAACATTTACAATTAGTAAATTTGGAAACTTGTATGTCAATAAAATATTCAAATTAATATAATTAACATTATTAAATAAATGTTTTTTTAAACTACAAAGAAACAGTACCTATTATAAACGTATGACGCAAATGACATTGTTATTTGGAAAATAAAACAAAATATCACGTTCTTAAAAAAACATATGAGCCGGATAAATTATTTTGTTAGCAATAAAAATTTTTGGATAACATTGCATGAAAATATTGTCCAATATTTCAAATATTTCTGATATTTTTTAAACACAATAAGTCAAAATGTTATTTAAAATTGTATTCGTTTGAATGTTTTATTGACATAGAAGTTTACTAAATTTAGTAGTTGTAAAAGTTTTTTAAAAAGGAAAATTAAAAATTAGAATTATCTTAAGAAAAAAAGTGTCATATCCTTAATGAGTCATCTGTATATATCATAAAAGATGTTTTGTAGGTAACACTACAGTACGAAACATAGCTGTCGAAACTACAAGTGAAGTGATATGGAAGGTTTTACAACCTCTATGCATGCCAAAGCCTTTGAAATTTGGAATATTGCAGCTAAACGCTATCAAGCATTATGGAATTTACTTGATTGCGTCGGCAGCATCGAGGGAAAACATATACGTGTCAAAGCTCCAGCGAACTCTATATTAGCGTTTCATGTATATAAAGTGATAAAATTGAATAAAATCACTTTCAAATAAACGCTTTGATGCTTATTTGTAAATACAGCACCTCAGTTTAATACATTCTAACTTTGCTGGTTTTTTACTGTGCTTGGTTTGGACTGTACTGGCTTGAAAAAACTAACTAGGTACCGATTTGCATCGAAGCGTTTTTTCGAAAGTGATTTTATCACTTTCAGATTTTAAAATTCCTGTAAACCTGTGACCTCCCCGTCCTCACTATGCCACGAACCCACCATGCTCCGTCTCCACTATGCTCTGACTCCACTGTACTGGTTTTTTTTTTTAAACCATATACATCGTTGCCATTACAACTATATTGTTTAATTGTTATAAAAAAAAAACAATTTGTAAAATAAAATTATATTGCATTACTTGTTCACCGTTTGATTTAAATAATTCTAAAAAAAATAATTAAACACTAACCTGTTCCTTTAACTTCTCGGCTTATACTTTCCCAAGCTTGATCCTGTATTGCTCTATTTAAAAAGTCTGTCTGGCGATGGTCATACAAACATTGATGACTCTCAACGAGTCCAACAAAATTAATATTAAACTCGGGATCGTCTTTCATAATTTTAATTTACTTATTTAATAGTACTATGTTTGAATGTTAATTACAACACGCAGTATTGTTTCCAGAATTTTTCGATAGTTATTAACAAGTGTCGCGATAGGAATGTGAAACGGCCCAAAACTTAGAACGACCAACACATACAAATTAACTATATAATAATAATAATAATATTTATACTACCATTATATATATATAAGCGTATAGAGAAACAATCTGTTGTAAAAATGGGCTGCGCCGATGGTGTAAGCAGCCGATAGATGGCGTCCAGATGGCATAAATTTTCAATAACTTATTTTAATAATAAGTGCTAGCTGAATGGCTACCGCGATATGACAATAAGTAATTATACAATGAGCTAACAAGTCCAAACGAAGAATACATTTTCAAGTTTTTAATCTTTCTTGTTTTTAATATGCCTCATTAGAAATTGGGTTTTCTAAAATCGAATTAATAATTTTCTAAACAAATGTTTTAGTGTCGATTTTTTTTTAAATCACATTTGTGTTGAAGTCCTTTTTATCCGATAAAAACCCAAACAAACGCCCACTTAGCGAACCAAATACGAAAGGTATTCTTTTTATTGAAAAATCCATTTAGTCATTCAAAAATGTTGAATTCAATGAAATTTAATTTTGAAAAAATGAATTTAAGTAAAAATAGTCATAAATCTTTTTTTTTTTTACTCACTAATAGGTTATGCCAAGACCCTATCGAAAACTTGATACTAATTTTTCAAAAGCTTTTGGGTGCGGTTGTGCCAATATCTGTTCGTACAGTCTGTTAAATTTTTCATCTGATAGTTGTAACTGTGAGCAAGACGATGACAACTTTTTTAATATAAACGTTTTATCTGAAACTCCCGAAGTTGAAAATCAAAATGGTAATCACGAAATCGCGGATAACCCTTTGAATGAACCCCCAAATTATTATTTAAATAATTCTACAAGTTCAGAGTTAGATATTCCAGAAACTATAGAAGTCAACACTTTACAGTCATGCTTTATGGTTTATTGCTTTATGGTGTTGAGTCCCTATATTACGCACATTTATGTTAGACGAAATTTTCAATAACTCAGTCCAGCTAGGAATACAGTAATACTGATATTACCCATATATCTGTAACAACTGTGCATAAGTGTGTAAGTCGATCTCAGTGGTTTTACAAGGTAGCTATTTTAAACTTGAAAGAAACCACTTGAGTACCTCTAAAGTATTTATCAATATAAAGGATCATAAAAACATCAAATGTTTTAAATGAAATCCAGATTATCCTGATCCTAATCCTGATTTATGGCAACTGGTCAAAGTTTAAAATCGCTCCCCTGTAAAATCATTGAAATCGACTTACACACTTATTCACAGTTGTTACAGATAGGTTTTGTTATCTAAAGGGGTTGCTTTTATTAAGAAACTTATTCATCAAAAAATTAACGACTAAAAGCTCGGTATAATATTATATTTAACATTTTGATTAATTGTGATCGAAATATATCAGGAATATTTGAAATATTGGACAATTATTTCATGCAACGCTAACCAAAATTATTTATTTCTAACAAACAGTTTTATCCGGCACGTGTGTGTTTTTTTTAAACTTGATATGTTCTGTTATTTTCCAAATAACATTGCCATTTGCGTCATACTTTTATAACACTGTTCCTATATAGTTTGCAAAACATTTGTTAAATAACGTATAGTACATGCATTTGAATTTTTTTTTTTTGACACATAAGTTTCCAAATTTAAATATTGTAAGTGATTATAAAAAATGAATCGAAAAATTAGAATTATTTTAGAAAAAAAAGTGTCTTATCCTAAATAAATCTTCTGTTTTCATCATAATACATATATTTGATATATCTTTACTATTGATTAGTATTCCACCCTCCTATACGTTTATAATACTGTTTCTATATAGTTTAAAAAAACATTTGTTTAATAATGTTAATTATATTCATTTGAATATTTTATTGACATACAAGTTTCCAAATTTACTAATTGTAAATGTTGTAATAAAAGCGAACTATCCTTAATGACTCATCTGCATTCAACATAAAACCCATATTTGATATTATCTATACAATTGATTTGTATACCACCCTCCTACAAGAAAAAAATATAGTTAGTCCAACTAAAACTATGTTTAATATAGGGATACATACATTTCTAGGTGAAACAACTAAATAAATAGTTGGCCCAACTAAATGATTCCTGGAACAACTTTTTATTTAATTCTTTCGACTAGTAATTTTTTGAGCTTCTATAACAAGCGTACTTTAATTGAAAGAAATTTTTTAATAACTCAGTCCAATTAGAAATGTTTTGTGCCCTTAAATAAACCATAGTTTAAGTTGGACCAGCTATGTATTTTTTGGAGAGTTTACCTTAATTTATATAGGTGAAATAATACCTATAACATTTTGACTTATTGTTTTCGAAAAATATCAAGAATATTCAAAATATTGGACAATTATGTTATGCAACGCTAAACAAAATTGTTTATTGCTAACGAATTGTTTTATCCGACACATGTGTTTTTTTAGAAATATGTACGTTCTGTTATTTTGTCTTTTCCCTAGATAGTACCTTTAACTTCAGTGCAAAGCTGATGGACTTTTTGCCTGCAAATAACTTAAAACCTGCTAGATTGATATGTTATTTAGCAAGCCTACCAATCAGTAATAATTTTGTTTAGTTGGAGTTAGTTTGGAAAATGTTCTGATAAATGTAAAATGTAAATAATCAATTCACTGCGCGTGATTTGGTGTTGAATACCACATGTGTATATTTGAATAATTCAAGGGTAAACGACGAAAAGGTGTTAACACCAACAGCGGGAACGGTACCTACCAATTTATTATTTGTTTTTTTATTAGGTCGATTGCTGTGGAAAAAAATTTGTAATTATTTAAGTTGTATATCTGAAATTTCGCTGTTGTTTTTGGACGAACAAATTAAAACACTGTAAAATCTGAATTTGGTGCGCGATTTGGCGTAGAATACCACATGTGTTTTGCGTATATTTTATTAGGCCAAGGTTAAAATAACATTAAGGTGTTAACAGAAAAAAAAATGTAGTAGTTAATAAACCGTAGTACCAATGTAAAAAAATATGTTAACTAGAGATTTAAAGAATTACAATTTATTTTGCTACCCAATGTTTAGCTATACAATACTGACAACTACATTTATTATTTTATTCGAAGATATAACTACAATAAAACTTGCATTAAATGGTTAATAGTCTTAAAATTAGTAGATCAAAACAGTATAAGCTCAAAAAATTATAAAAACAAATCAGTAAGGACCGTTTTAAAGTTGGTAAGTGCCTTTTGAAAAACCCTCTTTAAACCATATAAAATATAAAGCCAAAATCAGATAATTAACACTAGTATACCATCAATTATATAAATCAACTGTTGTTGTAGTTGTTAAAACAAGAAGTTTTTATACAATTGTAAATAAACCCTAACCATAATAAAATATACTTATTTCGCTCATAAGTTTATTTGTATTGTGTTTAGGGATTATTTATAATTGTATAATGAAAACCATAAATAACTCTACTTTAATTTGACAAGTAGTTTTGATTTTGGTAAGGTAACATTTTCAATCCCTGAATTTGTATTTAATCCAAAAGTACAAAAACAATGTTTTAATAACATAACAATCGTGAACCGTTCCATACAATTTTTGGAATTGCTTTTTCCTATGTTGAATTCTACAAAACATAATAACTGTACGTTGTGCTTGACACAATTTTGATCAGTTCTTTGTAAATTAGCTCAAATTTGTTTTAATATAAATGTTCTCGTCCAATGCAAACGCGATAAAATATAAAATAACTCGCCATGTGTGCTTACAATACATCACACAATATTCATAACAGAATACATTAACTAGTAAAATGTCTCAACTATGAGTTTAGTGCTAATTAAAGCTATACAAATATCACAACAACTACAATTATAATAATTAGAGTAATAACACACTGACACAGAATATTGTTAGAATAAGTGAGGGTGCTCATTGCCAAGACGCATCATCCTATCAATCGGGTGGTTTCTACCATAATTAATGTTGTGAGCGGAGATAATAAAAAGAGCAGATGACCTAGTGGGATGGGATGGAATTTTGAAGTTGAATTGAGAGAGTAGAGAGGGAGCATCAATACGTCTATCAATCAATTTACGCAGAAATGGTAAGTTGGCCTCAACTCTCCTATCTACTAAAGGGACAAGACCAAGCTTATTTATAACTGGTTGGTAGTCGTGTGGCTGGTGATCAATATTAAAAATAAGTAATGCAGAGTTTTTAGAATCGCCTTTGGACACGTTCTGTAAGGAAAGAATCAACTGCAGTAAAGAGGTCCCACAGGACTGATGCATACTCCAGAAGTGACCTTTCGAGAAAACAGTTAATGGCCTTCAGTGAAAAGGTCAATTTAAACTCTTTAGACATGCGTATAACATAACCAAGTGTCTATAGAGCTTTACAACACACTGATTCGATATGAGCGTGGAAATCTAGCTCAGGGGTAATTATGACACCTAGGTCTTTTATGCGATTAACCGACTGCAGACTTAAGCTGTTGATGGCATAGTTCACCTATAATATTCACCGTTAATAGCGGACCGACACCTAGTGAAGGACATTTGAGTGGCACTTTTCAGAGTTAAACTGCAAACTAATTGAGTTGAACCCAGTAACCAAAGCCTTAGGTTCACTTTGTAGCGACTGACAGTCAGCTATCGTGTCAACTCTTCGAAAGACTTTCAAATCATCAACAAACATAAGGAATTTACAAGAGGGTACTACGCTTTTGGTAATACTGTATTTTAGCCGAATACGATTCAAATTTATAATTTGTTAAGTTGTATAAAATAACAATTACTTATATTATACAAAATATGGCGATTGGGATGTTTTAAATAAAATTATTCTTTTGTTTATGTAATATAAAACTGGGTAAATGTTAGGTTAATATTTTTTTTTGC